ATTTTTGTAATTATAATATTTTTATACAAATTATATATAATATACATTTTGTTTATAATATATGTATATATATTGTTATATTCCTAATATTTTTATGACATATAAAGTAAAAACATCATAAATTGACAAAATTTTCTAAAAATATATTGAAAATAAAATTTATTTTTGTAATTATAGTATTTTTTAATTATAATATTTTTTTGAAAACGAATTTCGAATCGAATCGAATATGTTCGAATATTCTAAACGAATCGAATACGAATCAAAAAATGAATTCGTTATCGAATCGAATCACGAATCGAATCTTCGAATATTTTAAACGAATCGAATCGAATCTCTGAGTATTCGCTTTGATTCGATTCGTTTACAACACTACCCGTATGTAGCTACGTGTAGTGAACATGAGAAAAGATTATACTATAATGTAATGGTTGACATTAATATATACGAGCCAAGATTTTATGATTGTATGCATTACATCAACTTTAATCAACAAATCTAGTCCCGACACATTATTTATGTGAAATAGCATTACTCATATGGGAATAGTACTCCGCTCAGTCTAGAAATTTGCTGTTTTTGTCTATTGTTTTAGGATTTACTTTAATGTCAATTCTTATTATTTTTGTTTTTCTTATTTTCAAATGTTTTTTTATTAATTTCGATAATTGATCATTTTTTACTTTATTTTTATGGTAAATTTTTTGTTAGATTATCTAATCATTAAGTATTTACGTTCTTTCAAAATATGTACATACTTTTACATCTACATGTTATATAATAAAAGACAACTAATACGGCACCAACACGTTGCGCAGTTTGATGTTAAAAATGACGTTAATAAAACTGTTATTTATTATATTATGAATTATGTTCTTAAATATAATATTAGTGGTGGATGAATTATATTCATTACACCCTTATCATCATAAATAACAATAATCAAACAACGGGATTCATGACTCTAGATATAACAATAACATATAATTGATTGTGAATATTTAACAGAAAAATAATTCATTTTATTTAGAAAAATATTAGTGATATTTGACATAAAAAGGTATTGTCACATTAATGACACTTCTTGAAACTATTTTCCAAAAATAATTGGATAATAACATTCTTTTATCTTTTTGAATAAATAAAAGAATTATTTCTATTTTATAGATAGTCTGGTATAGGATAATTCAAATAAAAATGTACAAATACGAGTCATTTAAAATTATAAAATGTACTTAAGAAAAAAAATACTAAAACAACTCAATTTGTTGATTACTATATTTTCCTTTTTTTAATTGAAAAAATAAATTCAGTAGTTCATTTGTTTGCAAAATAAGTCCGATGGTGATCATAATGACGTGCAAGATAAATCACATTTTGTAAAGTTACAAACATGCCAATAATTATTTATGTTCATGTCACTAAGAAATTACTTATATTTTACTTGTATATGCAACAATGTAATTTAATATAATTTTTAATAATGTACGTTAATAAAAATACATTTAAATTGTATTATATAAATTTCAAAAACAGAAATCCATTTCAATAAAATGAATATTTAATATATAAGATAACAAAAAAGTAGATGCGTTAAATTTGTTTATATTACAACAATTTTATAGCAGTAATATATTCTTTTCATTCTCTTTAAGAAAAAAAGTGTATAATAAGAAAAAATTAACAATAATTATCAAAATACGTTATTTATATTCATAAAAACAAGATATAGTTTTATAATTGTGGATCAATAAAGAAATAAAAATGTGTGAAGTCTCTTCAGTCACAAACTTTTATATGAACTAATATCAAGTAAAAATAAAATAAATTAAACAAACTATGTATTTTGAGCTCAAATTATTCAATCAATTAGGACAAAAACCAATATAAAACATCTCATATATAACAAAAATTCCACTAAATAATTGGATGATAAATATGTATTGTCTTATTTAGTTTTCACAGTCAAAACCATATTGTCACTGTTTCTATGTCTTATGGTTGAGACATTCTCACTCTTTTTGGTATCATTTCTTGATTTTTTATCTTTCACAATATTATTATGCAATATTAGTCTACTTTTTACCCGTAAACGAAACTAAATTTCAATTCATGTTCAAACGCTAAATCATCTAATTTGTATTTTGTATATAAACTGTGACAATAAATGTACATCTAAAAGTTCAAGATCTTTGTTTCTTTATAATATTAGGTTATATTAAGGTAACAATCAAGATTATCACCGTCGATGCTTATATCAATAGTCAGCATTTTGCATTAAATTTATTAGAATTATGATTTAACTTATTAAATACATGTTGATAGAATTCTTATAAAATAATAAGAATAAAATATTTAAATTGTAGTATATAACTCTAAAACAATAAAAAAGTAAAACTAAAACTTGTGACATACAATTAAAAATAAAATAATTGTTGCATTTATAGTATATTGTAACTTTACTTGTCGCAATATTTTGATAAAGACGATATATTCTCATCACTTTTATGAAAAAAACATATATGCATATATAGAAAATTTAACAATAAATAATATGTTATACTTTTCTAGGCCATCATAGCGATAAGATGCTCCCTTACGGGAGTGTCCTCACGCATGGTCATGTTCATCAGAGTCCTCATGGCTTCTTATCGAGCAGCCCAAGACTGATGGTCAAATAATTCATTTAGATTGAGGAGCATATCTGCTGCAGTATTCATAGATTGATGATGATATTGAAGTACATTTGACAAGGATGCCAAGATGTAACACTTCTCCATCTTATCGGCCTTTATTCCACCTAGCAGACTCTTCTCTCTTTCCTAATTTGTTGCCGCATCTCCCGACTCATCCGAACAAGCCTCGGTAGTAATAAATTTATAACCTTCAGTAGTCAACACT